GGAGTAACTTCAGACAAGTTCTTCTCATTCAAAAATTCATTTCTCCCCTCCCTAATTGAAATGAAGGAATGAAACCGGTGTCATTTATTGAAAATATAATTCTCGATCGATAGGTGTCGGTGTCATTCCTTCATCTCAATTAGAGAGGGGAGAAATTAATTTTTGAATGAGAAGAACTTGTCCGGAGTTACTCCGCGCTTTGAAAATTCATTTCTCCGCTCCTAATTTAGATTAAGGAATGGAACCAGTATCATTTATTGGAAATATAATTTTCGATCGATAGGCGTTGGTTTCATGCCTAGATCTCAATTAAGGGGGGGGGGGGAATTTTCCAATCGGGGAGTTCCTGCGGACTCACGCGACGCCGGAGAACCGTTCGGGGTTACTCCGCGCTTTTGAAAATTCATTTCTTTTCTCCTTACTGAGATTAAGGAATGAAATCGCTGTCATTTATTGAGAATTCAATTCTCGATCGATCGGCGTTGGTTTCATGTCCTCATCTCAATTAGGAAGGCGCGGGGGGTGGGGGGAATGAATTTTTTAATCGGGGGACACAGCCCACTGATCTCTATATTAACTGGATAGACGATCCTTACGGGCTGGGTATGCTGGAAACTGAGGGCCTTGATGAATAGTTCGCCAGCCCCTCCCTCGTATGGCCTCGGAACTACAGGAAGCCTCAATGCGCTAGCGCGACTAGAATGCTAGATAGTGGGGATGGTTATCTGACTGTGTCATTTTTCCAGTCCCATAACCCCCAAATATCTGTCATTTCGGTGACTGTCAATCAACAGCGAATACCTGGACATTACCTGTCGACGAATGTCTTTCGGAAGAGTTCAATTGTCAGTGAGGTTACGTAATAATTCATTCCTTCCATTCTGTAAACTTTTACAAAAATGGTTCGGTGTGAATACTGCAAAAAAAGATCCACCAAATCGAAAGAATTATCTTTCCATAAGTTTCTGATTTTGTATCAGTGAAATGTGTAATGCAACTATAAGTAGATATTGCAAGAGGTAATGTGTATGAAACATAGGCTCCAATCATAATAAAAAGAAAGAGTAAATATGAATTGCATTCGACAATGCAAGGCAATAATTTGGTGATATGAGAAGTTCACTAATGGTAATAAAATAATAACACTGGCAGTGATATAGCTCACACAGTCTGTTGAATAATGTCTTTGTTGTATTGTATTAGTCCTTGAAATTATGAAAAATAATTTTAATGAATACCACTGTTATTTTCTATTGCAGAAAAAGATAGAATTATTTAAATTAGATTTTTCTATTTTCTTTTATTATATTTCAATTAGATCTGCATCGAATTGTTCCTATCATTCCGCCCATGCTATTTCACTTAATCCTGATCACAATCGAGCTTCTATTATCTTTTTGTTTCATCCTCTCCTGTAACGAAAATGTCACCTCATTGCACCACACAATATCTATTTTAAAAAGAGAATATATATTCATGTAAGAATTTGTCGGAAGATGAATGGTTTTTCCACTTTGTGTTTATTCCTCCCGGCAATCGTCACAGTTATCATTTCAATTGACGACAATGAAAATCCTCCCTTCAAATCTTGATGTTGTATAATGCAACATCAGAAAAATGACCATTCAATTTTCCAACTTTACCAGGTCACGTTACCCACCCCCCTCTACGCGACTACGGTCGCGCAAGCGCGCTAACGGCGCGCTTAGTTCCTAGGCCATACAATGGAGGCGCTGGGTGAACGTCCAACTTGGGTCACCAGTGTCTTACAGGATAGTCTATCCAGTTAGTATAAAGATCAGTGGCGAGAACCCTCCATAGAGTATGGCAGGCCGACCAACTCTGAGGAAAAACAACTGGCGTCGGGCCGACGTTGCCACTTCTTTTACAAAAATTAATTATTTTACATTTATTATTAAAATTGCGTATACAAATTTTTTAAAGCATGTAGGATGTAGAAAAAAAACTAAATAGTTATAAAAAATATTATATGACTACAGAAGAATCGGAATATGGTCGTATTATTTAATTGAAGGGAATCGAATTTTCGAATCGAATTTTCGTGTTCGTGGGATTGGTTTTCCGCAGGAATACAATAGATTCATCTCCGCCACACCTACATTCCGTCATCGCCTGAACATCGTTAACAGGTTATGCCAGCGATTGGTTGCTGGGCCAATTTCTCCTATGCTTTAACACGGTTGGCCCAACGGCAAAGATCATACGCTGGCTTAACCTGATGAATATAGTAACCTTGGAAATAACCGACTTTATTTGCACCGTATTGATCTTTTTTAAAATATTTTTTTCCCACAAAAGATCCAAAGACTTTAATTTTCAGAGGGGAAATATTTTTCTTCTAAATATTTGAGGGGATAGGTCAGTGAAATTTAAAAGTCTTTAAATGGACCGCGGAACCCGTTGAACAATTGGTGATATATGACGAAATATGGATATAACTAGGGAAAATCGCGGACACGATCGATTTTGCCCCGTGCAAAATCAATTTTCATACGATTTTAGCTTTTTTTTTCAAAATGTTCGTTATACTCTAAAGAATAACGTCAAGCATTCGTTTTACTTTATTAACAATAGATCATGAATAATTGAATTTTGAATTTCATAAATTTTTCAAGTCTCTAGAGTATTACTAAAAATTCATTGTTTTTAGTAATTGAGCATTGTAATCATGCACAATCTAATTTTACTGAACAACAAATTGCAAGTTGAAGCAAAAAGGCAGGTTCAAAAAAAAAATTTATGAAATTCAAAATTGATTTATTCATGATTTATTGCCAATAAAGTAAAACGGATGCTTAACTTCATTTTTTGGAGTGTAACGACCATTTTGAAAAAATAAGCTAAAATCGTATGAAAACTACGGCGCAACGAGCATTTTGAAGGTAAAAATGAAGTTTTTCGTGGTTATGCAGGGCAAAATCGATCGGGTTCGCGATTTTCCCTAGTTATTCTCATATTCCGACATATATCACAAACTGTTCAATGGGTCCCAAGGCCAAGTGAAGACTTAAATTTCACCGACGTTTCCCCTTAATGATGTTCAAGAGAGAAGTAGGATATTCGAAAAATGCAGCCAATTTCATGAAATTTTTTTCACATATTGTTTAATGCATTTAGGCACCCCTTGCAAAATTTCAGAAACCCTGGGTTCAGGACAACAACAAAAATGAATTCTAACATTGCTGTTTATACGTGCGGTTAAAGGGAGCATCGATAACTCGTACATTTTCCTTACATTGTCGATCAGTCAGCAATGTGGAAAAAATACTGAAATTATCGATGACCCATTTAACCTCATACACAAGCAGCAACTTTAAAATTCATTTTTGTTGTCCTGAACCTGGGATTTCTGAAATTTTGCAAGGGGGTGCCTAAATCTATAAAATAATATGAGAAAAAAGTTTCATAAACTTAGCTGCATTTTTTGAATATCCTACTTCTTGCTTGAACATCGTTAAGACATTTCGAGATGGGTTAGGCCTCATGATTTTTCCCCCATCTCGATCGTTTGTGAAATAAAGAATTCTACAAATCATAAGAACTAACCTACCTCAAAATGTTTTGACAATTCAAAAAAAAATGTCCCCCCTCTGAAAATTAAAAAAACCCAAACAACTACGTGAAACAGGAAAAAAATTATTTTTAGTAAGCAATATCGAAAGTAGCTAGAAAAATCATTCGTTTACAATTTTTTTAATTTTTAAAACAAAAAAAGTGGAAAAAAAACATGGTAGCGCACCGACGCTTCCCGCAAGGACTAACGCACCGTTCGCTTCGCTCCCACCCCTCATAACTGCTTACCTATCATACTTAAGGAAAAAATTATAAAACAAACAATGTGTATTTTTAGATATATTATATTTTGTGTTGAAACTTTTTTCCCTGTCTGCCACCGTCTCCGTGATATTGTTTAAACAATTAAATTATTACAAATAAACAGGGCCATCAAAAATGTAAATACCAATAATGAAATATACTGGACCTCGTAATACATACAGAGACAGAGGTCGTGTATAGATTACATTGCTGCACATGGAAAAAATCTCAACTTATTATTAGAAAAAAGAACTTTGCGACAAATGTTGAGTTTACGAATTTGAAAATATTTTCGATTATCTGAGAAATTTATTGTTATCCATTGCGTAGAGCAGGCATAAAATTTTAATCAGATCACGTGTGCAGTCGGTTACGCGTAATTTCTCCATAAGGGGTGACGGACTAGAAAAGGGGTAGAAGGTGTCCAAATATGCGAACAGCGGGGTTCTACTGTACGAGCAAGTGATGGAAGAAAAATCAATAAATCTGATGAAGAAATCAATAAATAGGGGAGAGTGGGACAAAATGAAACAGTCGAAAAATGATTTTTTAGTACAATTTAAGCAAAAAAATTTTTTTTTGTAAATATTTTTTTTGGCAACTTTTTTTATTATTCGGGGTACTGATGAGAATAATAATTTTCTATTCGTCTTATAATTCAACTGATTAGATTAAGCCGATTACACTTCTTTTTTCATTCAATTGAAATTCAACATCACATTTTCCTTTTTCTTCCTCTGGGTTACCCCCTGGGCTTTTCTCTGGACTTTGGATTTTGCTGTTTCATTTTGTTTTCATTTAATCTATTGACAAAATATTCTCCCGTCAAAACTTCTCCATAATTTTTCATTCTGCTGAATGGAAAATTATCATTTTCATTAGTACTCGCAAGATTTAAAAAAAGTTAAAAAAAAAATTCAACAAAAAGACAATTTTTTTGCTTGAATCGTGTCAAAGAGTCATTTTTCGACTATTTTATTTTTTCCGCTGTTTCATTTTGCCCCACACTCCCCTATTCAAAAAATTTTCAAATCTATACTGAAATAGTCACTTGAAAATTGAAAATTTTCGGGTTCAGGAATTGAATCAGGACTCGAAAATAATGACATTTCCCTTTCGAATACAGATGAAACACCCCTTAATACTTTGAAAATAATTTACAGATCCGGGGCAACAGATTTTCTGCGCAGTTCGCTCAGCAACCACCGCCGAGAGTATAACAACAGTGAAACTATCAACAAAACCCACACACTTGAATGCACCCTCATTATCCAAAGCTCAGCACGTAGATACCCTGATCCCTGGAACAAAATTTCTACTGACAATTGGAAAAATTCTCCCTGACGGACTTCAGGTTACCTTCAATACTGATAACATTGGCTATATAAACCGGCTGTATCTCCAGAAACCCTTAGACACGTACGAACAGGGTTCAGAGCTTCACGCAACATTTCTCTACACTCTCCCCATCGTGAAATTTTCATACTTCACCGAAATGCCTCTAGAACCAGAACTCGAAATTGTCAAATGTGGGGAAATCGAAAAAGCACGAGTTATTTTTCAAGACGCGAGAGGAATTGTCCTGCGACTTGAAAAGAACATTCGTGGATTTCTCCCTTTCAAGCGTACGGGGGTTGACTTCCAGAGAATTTCTGAAAAATTCACTCCGAACTCTACCCACACATGTAGAATATTAACGTACGATAATTTTGATCGAGTCTACGTCTGTTCAACTCTGAAGCACGAACTTACCTCCGAGAACAAGATCCCAGAGACAGTGACTCTGGGTGACGTTATGGAAGTGAAAATTATCCGTCAAAACCGAGAAAACAAATTTCTTTTCGTAAAATCAGGAAGAATCCTAGGAGATGTAGCTCCGGAGCAGATTCATGACATCGATGATGCAGTTGTCCCCTTAATCAGCGAAAAACTATTAGCGAGAGTCCTTTCAAGAGACAAAAAAGGAGAACGTTTCAATTTCACATTGAAAAAGTCATTAGTATACAGTCATCTTCCAATTCTATCAGAATTCGCTGAAGCTCAAGTTGGTTCCACATATTTAGCAACAATCATCCGTAAAAGTGGACAAGGACTATTGGTTAAATTCTACGGTGATCTAAAAGGTGTAATTCCTGTAAAATCATTACAAAACATTCGTGGGGGAATTAAAGCATTCAGACAGGGCCAAGTGGTGCATGTGAAGGTCGCAAACATCATCGTCCAGGAACATAGGTTAATCCTCGAGCTCTGTGCAGAAGATGAAGAATGGAAGATAAGTCCTTTTGAGATCGGTGCGACAGTAGAGGGGAAAGTCATGGACTCTTCAGTTGAAGGAGTCCATGTTCGCATTCCTCACCCCTCTGGAAAAGGTACCATCACAGCATACTTGCCAGCAGGACACATGTCGCCTTGTCAAGAAATGGGAAAACGCATGGCTGTTCTTTCAGTTCCCGGAGATACTATTTCAGCTCGAGTCTTCTCCACAACTCCGGAATTTGTGTTAACGAAAACATTGATCCCTCAAGAGTGGTATATAGATATAAAAAACTTATCCATTGGTGACTGCATTCCCTGTTCCATCACGCAAATCCACACAACAGGAATTAAAGTTTTGTTGCCGGTGAAGAACTTAAAATGCTACGGAATTGTAGCGCTGAATAAAATAGACCATATAACAATGCTATTTAAACACCAAATATTGTTTGGAAAGATCACTCAAATCAATAAAAAAACTCAGGTCATTCATCTGACAACGAGTCTCCATGAAGTCTGGTCGTCTGCTGTAGAAAATGACACCGATGTCATTACTTCTGTTGATGTTCTGGCTTTATATCTTTCGAAGTTGAAGGAGTTATCCTTACAGAGTTATTATAATACAAAGACAATCTCGAAAATGAAACTAGGACAAAAAGTCTCTGGAGTTGTTGAGAAAATAAGTGAAAATGGAGTCATTATTAAGTTAAATAACGGTATTCCGGCAACTGTGCGGAAAGGTCATTTTAAAAAATCACTGAAAGTTGGTGATGAAGTGAATGGATCTGTTCTATGGATGAATTACATTGATGAACTTGTCGAGATTACCTTGAATCCAATTTGGATTCATGCCATCAAACCTAAGCAGAATAAAATCCTTGAAGATGGTTTTAGAAAAAGGTTGAAAGGAGAAATTGTTTTGGTAGATAAGTGGTTTGTTCTTGCTGTTGTGAAGGGCTGCGGTAAGGGGAGTCTCGTGGCATTACCTACTAAAGCCCATGTGAACGATCTGACACCTGATCTATCAAATTATAGAATTGGAGCTACGATCAAGTGTTATGTTATCCTGAAGGATGATGAATCAGAAATTGTTCCGATTGTTTATAGAGAGACTGCGTTTGTTACGACAAAACAATTAAATGATAAGAAAATGAATTCTGCGGTGAAGATAGAAGATATCACAAAACCTAACGATCAAGGCTCCGAAAGTCAAACGCTGAAAAGGAATAGAGAAGCAGATGACGTTCTAGATGAAACCAGACAATCTAAAGTTACTAAGAAACTTGAAGATACTTTAATGCCAAAATTCTTTGATTATAAATCTGAAGAGACCAAACAAAAACGAAAACCACAACATTCACAGTCACAAGATGAAGAACTTGAAGTGATTGTACCAAAAGAGGAAGAACAACATAGAGCAAAACTCATCTGTGCTAGCTCAAACGAATCAGAGGCTATGGGAAAAGTCGCAGTGATTCGTGAAGCAATTGAAGACTCAGGGTTAAAAATTCAAAATAAAAAATATGCAGAAGTAGAAGAATTGAGTATTCCAGAATGTGGATTTTTCTGGGACTCAAAACCAGACACTGCCCTGTGTCTCAAAAAGGAGTCCAGTGGTGACGAAAGAGCATTTGAAGAACTGCCCACCAGAAAAAAAAGAAAAATATCTGCCATGGAGCGAAGAGAATTCGAGCGTCAGAAGGAAACAGAAATCAGAGAGAAAGAAGAAGAACTAGCTAGCAATCAAGTTCCCAATTCAGTGGAGCAGTTCAATAGGCTTATACTGGCTAGTCCTGACAGTTCCTTCGTGTGGTTGCAATACATGGCATACCACCTTCAAAGTACAGAGATAGAAAAAGCGAGAGCTGTAGCTGCACAGGCCCTCAAGACTATCAATTTCAGGCAGGAAAATGAGAAGCTAAACATCTGGCAGGGTTGGTTGAATCTCGAGTCAAGATTTGGTACCCCAGAGACCTTGAACAAAATCTTCCTGGAAGCTATCAAAGCCAACGACTCTCAAAAGATCTATCTTCATATGTTGAAGATCCATTCAGATGCTGGGAGAACTGCTGAAATCGAAAGAACGGTGAAAACCATCACGGGAAAGTTTAAGAGCCTCCCAGAGGTTTGGGTGCAATGTGGAGCTGTACTATTAAAGTCGGGATTGACTGAAAAATCAAGGCAAACCATGCAGAGGGCTCTCCAGTCCCTCCCTGCAGCCGATCATGTGTATCTCACGGTGAAGTTCGCACAGTTGGAGAATAAATTTGGGGATAATGAAAGAGCTGAGACACTTTTCGAAAAAATATTATCATCTTATCCGAAAAGAGTTGACGTCTGGTCTATTTACGTTGATGTTTTAATTAAATCAAAGCGTTATGATTCTGCACGGAGAATCCTAGAACACGCTGTTAATCAAATACTGCCCCCAAAGAAGATGAAAGCGTTATTTGAGAAGTATGTTACTTTTGAGGAACAATATGGAACTACAGAAACTCTCTCACATACACGCAAACTTGCCAGGAAATACGTGGAGAATTACGGCAGTGGGGGCAACCTTGAATTTAATCACTGAAACTTTTGTTCCTTTATTTTGGAAATGATGAAATTGTTAATCGACAATAAATGAAAAACTGAAATGAATTCAACTTTAATTTAGATTTAGATAGATAATTTATTTGCGAAAGGGATTCCAACACCCTTATTGTAAAGGGAGGGGTACAAGCAGCGGTGTTACAAAAATAAAGAAACATGTTTACAGTATTTAATGCATGAATAATGAGATAGTGAAAGACAAAGGTTATCATTATGGCTTAAATAATATGCAGATGCTACATCAAGAAAACTTGCGAGTGAAAACAGATAATTGGGGTTTTGCATGAAATCCAATTTTTGTGCCATATGTAAGTTCAGGGCGTTAGTAACATAACCTGATTATTTAAAAAAAAATTTCTTTGTTTTTTCCATTTATAAATGTAATTTAAAATTTACCTTTTTGATTTACCGCGAAAACGGGACCCGTAGCGACATCTCGCGTGTGTGACCTCACAAGTCAGTCATAATTTTCAACATGACGACTGCCAATGTAAACAAGTTTGGTTGTATTTTATTTACTTGCTAACAGAATAATAATAATGGAAAATATGCCTCATGAAAAGAGGAAACGGTGGATTGAAGCCTGTGGGCGAAGTTTATCAGATTTTGCGGTTTTAAGCAAGTTATACGTCTGCGAAGATCACTTTGACGTAAATATCTGTCATTTATTGGGAAAATTTTCATCAACTTTATGCCTTCATTCAACTTTGTATTTTTTCTAGTTGAAAAATGATATAGGAAATTGGATGGAATGGTCCTTGATGAATTATCGAATGAAAATGAAGGAGCATGCTGTCCCCCATATCTTCGAGGCCTCAAGTTCGCAGATGTCAATCTCACACGAACCAGAAGAGATTACACCTGTAAAACGTCTCAAGAGCGATGTGAACAGAAACGATAAAAATTCGTCTGCATTATCACTTGATGATGGGGATAATCCATCGGAAATGTTTTATTCGGCGAGGGGCAATTTATCTCTCAATTACTCTGAAATGTCTAATTCGATGATGGAGATGTGTGATGAATCGAATTCACTTGGAAATCTTTTGAGAAGGGATAAATGTATTCAAGCTAATATTCGGCCACATTTCCGGAGCAAATCTATCCAATATCGAGTATCGAGCAGGGACCAGTATACTTCACCTGTCTAGGATCTGATTGACAGTTTCACGGAGTTGCAAGTGTCTGTTCCAACTTTCTATCACTCCGAAGAGGATTCTAGGAGAGAGAAGCCTCCAATGGACGATAGTAGCGAGAAAATCACTGAGACTACTTCCGGTTCACTTAACGAGAGTAGTCAGAAAATCACTGATACTACTCTCAGTTCGACTTTTACTACAAGTGAATATTTGTCGACAGAGAAAGAAGGCAGTGATTCTGAGATCAAAAGTGTGTTTCAACAAGAAAGACTCAGGCAAATGAGTCGTGAATACACCAATCGCATCATCAAGAATAATCCCCGACAATATGTAGGAATTGCTACGGAGTGTATGGTTCCTTTGATGGATATTTTTACTAAAAAATGTGACTTGAGGGAACTGGACATTTTTCTTGTGCTGACAAAAATTAGGTTAAATCAAAGTTTCGCTATTCTCGCTGAGGAGTTTGGAATTTCCACGTCAAATGCCAGTTGTGTTTTTAATGAAACTGTACCAGCTTTGGCTACTTATGAGGGATTTCATTTTGTGGCCTCCCTCATCAGAAATTGAAAAACGACTCCCGATTCCATTTAGGGGTCACTATGGTAAAGTTGAATCCATCATAGATTGTTTGGAGATAGAAATTGAAAAACCGACCCACCCAGTTAAACAGTCATTGACGTGGTCAGAGTATAAAAAATGCAACACGATGAAGTATCTAGTATCTTGTACCCCCGATGGAATCATCAACTTTATTTCCCCGGGTTTCGGAGGTCGAACATCCGATGCAGAAATATTTACTCAATCAGGATACACTAATCTCCTAACAAATCGACCTGGGATTGGTATCATGGCGAATCGAGGATTCAAACATATTGAACAACAAATATTAATTAAAAATTGCACTTTAATTCGACCACCATCTGTGTCTTCATATGAACAGCCAACACACGACGAAGTTATTGAATCCAAACGAATCGCTAGTCTCCGCATTCATGTGGAACGACTGATCCAAAGAATTCGCGAGTTTGAAATGTGCGGACCGCATTTCAACGTGAATTATAACTTAGTATCAAGTCTCGATGAAGTTCTCACAGTCGTGGCAGGTCTCGTGAATCTCCAAGGACCATTGATAAAGTAAACGTGATCATGAAGGAATTACGATAACTATATTTGTTCCAATTACACTGTATTATTTTATAATAAATATCATATTTCTAAACTTGAAGAATCATGGTGAATGGCGGGAGTTCTGAGAAGTTGCAGCGGTATTCGAGCGAAAGACTGAAAAATTTCCTTCCTCGTCATCACGAACAGTGATATTTGTGAGAAATATCCGGGTTCCTCCACTCGGCTGCTAAAGATCGAAAATGTAGGCTTGTGGTGCATCAGTGTAAGTCTGCATCACAGGTGGTCAAGCCCAAGACGAATATAACTGATGATTTCATTGTTTTGCGACTGATGGACCAGTGACGCATTAAATATCTGAGGTGGAGTCCAACATCAATTGTATTGATGGGAACTCCATCTCAGTGGTGACTGGATTTGTCCGTCTTGTTTATTGCCACAACGTGGCTGGGACGTTTGGTATGACATATCATAACGCGAAGGAGCTGTTCAGAAAATACTCCCTTCGTCACTTTCTCAATACTGATATTCAAGATCCTGATGACAACTGTCTTCTGCGCGCCGAGCGTCTACTAACCTTCCCCGGAGAAGTTCTAGGTCTGAAAATCGGTTTTCCCCTCTGCAACATCTAAAGATCCACCAGACAGCCCATCAATTATTTCAAGACTGACTCCCCACCATCAGATCATCCTTCCACCAATCGAATATGTCCTCGTAAGTACCTCCAGCACCATCATCCTCCCAAAATGAAGAAAGCAACCACGAAGACCCACGCCTCCTCCCACGAGGAGTCCGACAACTCTAGTGACGAGACCGAATGCAGTATCGGCAGCAACTCCACCGTAGGAACTCACCGTTCAAACACTCCAACCCGTTCAGGTCGCTATCGCAAGAAAGATCGTAGACGTAGTGAGAAAACTCAATCAAAGCCGTAAAACGACAAGCCCCTCTACAAATACTGCTACAGCGTAAAAAAGGAGCACGGTTATCCCCTCTTCGGAGTTCAGTTCCACCACCACCTGAGTGAGGGTGAGTCCATACTCTTTGCGTCAGTTGGAAGCAACAGAGTCAGCATCTACGAGTTCCCGGAGGACGCCAACATTCGCCAGCGTCAGTGCTGAGCAGACCGAGACTCAGGGGAGAACTTCTGCGCGTGTGCTTGGACGTTTGATGAATCTGGAAAGCCTTTACTAGCTGTTGCTGGGTCCAGAGGTTTGACTTGCGTGAAGCCCTATATTGGTTATGGACACGCCATAAATGAGCTCAAAATACACCCAAAGCACCCCAACATCCTACACATGAAACCTGTCCTGAACCGCCGCTATCACCGATGCTTCTAATTCGCGACCACGGGCCATTGCTTTGGTGTCTCTTATTTTTTTACCTCCTGTTATCAATTCTACCAACACCCCATCAGATTTAGTACAACGAGATGTTTCATAGTATTTGGAAGCAGTTATTCGACCATAACGCAATTTAAACCAGAATTCAGAGTTAAATTGCTCTCTCGTCATTCTTTCTACATTGTCGCAAATAGTATTTGACATTTTATTTCTGCAGAAGGAGAAAAACTGATCAGCTGAACTTCCTCCCTGCTCAATCAAATTAATTAACAAATCATGTATCGTTACCCTTAGATAACTTTCAGTGTCACGATAATAATTAAGTAATTGACAGTTGAATTGCGTTGATGGACATTTCTCCACAAATAATTCCCGTACATTGACATTTTTTTCCATAGAAGTGGCGTCTTGAGATGATGGAAAATCTTCAGCCTTTATGAATTTAATATCGGAACCAATCTTCGATAGAGTTGATTTCTTCCAGTAACAGGCTACTTCAGTGGGCGACGGTTCCTCACTTCTTCGATGTAACTACGTTAGGAAGGCAATAGCATGTTTACAGCCCCCTGAATAATGAAACAATCGCTATAGTTGGAAAGATGCTGCCAAGTTTCATCTCGTGATTGATGCACGACAGAATATATTTTTTCATCACCTGGGGCAGCTACACAGTCATGACATTCGGCAGATATCACAGAACTCTCCTTCATGTCCACTTTGATTGTAACTTTGTAAGGTTTACTTCCAACCCGATGCTCAGGAGTCATTTTGCATTGAACTGTGCATACGGAACCTTCACGTTGTACTTGTGCATAACCTATAGCTGCATCTCCATATGACTCTCTACAAGATCTGTTAAAGGATAATTGGCTCTTAATATTCAATCATTCACAAAGAGGAATACGCCAAATAATTATGATATTGATCCGATTTTAGCAATGAATAGTTCATTTCCCTGATATTAATGAGCACTTACAGGTTAGCTTTCGCTCCTCGTATTTCTGCTGCAATGAAATCTTAATTATTCGCAAAAAACTGCGCCACCATGAAGCAATCCACTGTAGGTAAATTATTAGATAAAGCACAAACAAAACCTGGATTCGGTCGAAGCCTCATTTTTTATTTTTATTCACTCATGAACACTTTCTGGGTATATGGAAACGTTTGTATACATCAAACGGCCCGCTGAAACTGACTTGTGACGTCACACCAATCACAGAGCGTTTGGGATCACGTGACTTTTTCGTATTTTCACCGATTTTTATTTATTTATTACTCGTAATATAACAAATCATTTTGAAAAAAAAATCTTTGGCGCAGTATTTTTTCACTCTCTATCATAAACGATCGTTTTTTCTGTATTTCCTGTCATATGCAAAACTCCAATTGGTATAATATAAACACGCAGTGCGGGAATAAAATACAAAAAATGCAATAGCGACAAGTCAG